ATTAAGTCCACCTTCCCTCCCTTTCGGTCATTTTAATGTAAGGATCTCCAAAAAAGAGAGATAGAGATAGAAAAGCAATGTTTTATTCATAGGGCTTTCTTGCTGCAAAGAAATTGATGTGTTCAGGCTTGTCCTGATTTATAATCCCATCCCAACGAATGCCGGTTTTCTCTTTCATTTCAATGTCAATGTGCATCCTGTGTTTTTTTCTTTCCTCTTTTAATTTCGGTATAGTTAATCTTTGAAGCACACGTTTACTCTTGAGGATTGAGCTCAGAACGAAGGCCACTCCTTCCCTTTTCCTCCCCTCAAAGAGAGAAAAAAACACAACAATGGGGGGAAACTTTGCATTACAAAGCCCCCGCGCAGGTATTGCTTATTAAGAGTATCAAAAGAGTTATTTTCCATCTCAATTTGAAGACAGACACAGGAGTTTACACGGTTCAACAGAATGCCCCTGCGAAACAGAGGGGAGGCGCGCGAGCCTTAGAAGAGAGGCGGCATTTACATAATCTCCCTTTCTTTTTTTGGCTAGTCCTTGATACATTCCGCAATAAACACCTGCCCATGAAACTGTGAAAAGGAAAGTCTTTTCAGAAACTAGGAGAAAAACGCACACAATACCGTTCCTTTCTAGGCCAACAATAAAAAAAAATCCAAAACTATCAAAGTAATGCCAACTATTCCGCACATCCTCCTCATGCCCAGTTTTAATGCAAAGACACATAGGGAGCACAACTAGGCTTGGGCGGTTTCGTCCGTTAATTTCGTAATTCGTTATTAATTCGTATTTAAATTAGCTTACGATCCAATATTGAGCCATGCAGGACTACTGTGAGGAGTAATTAAAAATCGAAACAATTTTTTTCAATTTATTTCGTATTGTTTCGTAATGTTTCAAAATATTGTTTCGTAATTGTTTTGTAATTATTTCCGTATGTCTGGTGCAAGTTTTATAGTTGTTGTTTGTTTTATCAGTGATAAAAAATAAATTATCACACCAACAGTCAACAACAGAGGGAGAGGGAAGCTTCAGAAGTTCCCCCTGTCCCATTTGGAGGGTTTTTTAGCATATTGCGCAATCGCGTCCGCCATTAATGAATCGATTCATAATTGTTTCGTAATTGTTTCGTAATTGTTTCGTAATTTACGAAATTTCGTAAATATCGAACTTTTTTAAAGAAAAATTTCGGAATTCTTTTAAAAAACGAAACGCAAAACCCCCCTAAAAACGAATCAAGTTTAGAAACAAATTTTTCCGTGGTTGCCCAGCCCTAGAACACAGCATTCTTGTTTTGAATCTTAGCATGTGAAATGTGTAATTTTCAGGAGTAGGCTACATGCGATGCGGGCAGCCATGGAAATCTTAGTGATGGGAGGATGGAGTTATCATTATGTTATCATTATGTTAGCATTATGTCCCAACGCACTTTATCAGAGATCTAGGATATCTGCATGCCCATCCCCCTCCAAAACACACCACCTGGTCATGCCCAGCACTTTTAATTTTAATTATTACATTTGGCCCTGCCATTGTTTTTAATTCTGTCATTGTGTGTTGTCAATGTTATTGCTTTGTTTTCTGAATTATTTTGCTGTTTGTTGTTGCTGTTGTTTTTACTATTGTATTTGGGCTCGGCTTCTTGTAAGCTGCACCGAGTTCTTCGGGAGATAGTAGAGGGATACAAATTTATTTATTTATCGTGTCATCCGCAACCAGAACATTGTATTACATTTCTAATAGAACAAAACAAACAAACAGATAAAAGAAACAACACAAATTTTGCAAACTTCGTAGCTGATTAAATGTCCTTTGACCCGTATCTGGCCCCTTGGAGTGCCTCTGGTGTTGCTGCAAGAAGGTCCTCCCTTGTGCATGTGGCAGGGCTCAGGTTGCATTGCAGCAGGTCGTCAGTGGTTTGCTCTTCTCCACACTCACATGTCGTGGATTCCACTTTGTGGCCCCTTTTCTTGAGGTTGGCTCTGCATCTCATGGTGCCCGAGCGCAGTCTGTTCAGCGCCTTCCAAGTCGCCCAGTCTTCTGTGTGCCCAGGGGGGAGTCTCTCATTTGGTATCACCCACGGATTGAGGTGCTGGGTTTGAGCCTGCCACTTTTGAACTCTCGCTTGCTGAGGTGTTCCAGCGAGTGTCTCTGTAGATCTAAGAAAACTATTTCTTGATTTAAGTCGTTGACATGCTGGCTGATACCCAAACAGGGGATGAGCTGGAGATGTCTCTGCCTTGGTCCTTTCACTATTGGCTGCAACTTCCCGGCAGATGTCAGGTGGTGCAATACGAGGGGTAAAATTAAAGGTTTATCATCATCATCATCATCATCATCATCATCATCATGGGAAAGGAGGTCTCCACTGAAGATTTATCTCCAATCCTTGTTCCGACTTAACATACGAATTCAGCTTTAGAACAAACCTATAGAGCCTATCTTGTTCGTCACTTGGGGACTGACTGTAAATATTAGAATTGTGCACAGAATTCGTTTTTTTCCTTTCATTCGTCCTTTCGTTCCCTTCGGAAGTACAGAATGGGAAACCTCCTCCCCATACGAAAATCAGCTCAACACGAAAGCAAGCGGGAGCCAATGCTGTTTATTTGTTCAGTTGCTTCTGACTCTTCATGTCCTCATGGACCAGCCCATGCCAAAGCTCCCTATCATCCGTGGCCACCCCCAACTCCTTCAGAGTCAAGTCAGTCCTTTCAAGGATACCCTCCATTAATCTTGCCCTTGGTCGGCACCTCTTCCCTTTTCCTTCCATTTTGTTGTTGTTTATTTGTTCCTTCACTTCTGACTCTTCGTGACCTCCTGGACCAGCCCACACCAGAGCTCCATCGGCCGTGGCCACCCCCAGCTCCTTCAGAGTCAAATCAGTCCCTTCAAGGATACCCTCCATCCATCTTGCCCTTGGTCAGCCTCTCTTCCTTTTTTCCTTCCATTTTGTTGTTGTTTATTTGTTCAGTCATCTCTCAGCCTTCCTTCTGGTCCAGCTCTCACATCCGTAGGTGACTACGGGGAATACCATTGCTTTTACTATGTGGATCTTGGTTGCCAGTGTGATGTCTCTACTCTTCACTATTTTATCGAGATGGGTCCTTGCTCTCCTCCCAAGAAGTAAGCGTTTCCTGATTTCCTGGCTGCAGTCTGCGTCTGCAGTCATCTTTGCACCTAGAAATACAAACCCTGTCTCTGCCTCCACGTTTTCTCCCTCTATTTCCCAGTTATCAATCAGTCTGGTTGCCATAATCTTGGTTTTTTTTATGTTTAACTGCAGCCCAGCTTTTGCACTTTCTTCTTTCACCTTGATTAGAAGGCTCCTCAGCTCCTCCTCACTTTCAGCCATCAAAGTGGTATCATCTGCATATCTAAGGTTGTTAGTTTCTTCCAGCAATTTTCACCCCTGCCTTGCATTTGTGAAGCCCTGCACATCCTCGCATGATGTGTTCTGCATACAAGTTGAATAGGTTGGGTGAGAGTATACAACCCTGCTGTATGCCTTTCCCAGTCTTGAACCAGTCTGTTGTTCCGTGGTCAGTTCTTACTGTTGCTACTTGGTCCTGATACAGATTCCTCAGGAGAAAGACAAGGTGGGGCTTGGCATGCCCATTCCACCAAGAACTTGCCATCATTTATTATGATCCACACAGTCAAAGGCTTTAGAGTAGTCAATAAAACAGAAATAGATGTATGAAATTCCCTGCCTTTCTCCATACAAACATATAAATTCAATTTAAGAACAACCTACAGAACATATCTTGTTCGTCACTTGGGGACTGCTTCAAAATATTAAGAGTTGTGCACGGAATTTGTTTTTTCCGTTTCATTCATCCTTTCGTTCTCTTCAGAAGCACAGAATGGGAAACCTCCTCCCGGTATGAAAATCAGCGCGACACAAAAGCAAGCAGAAGCCGATAATTGACTTCAATAGAGAAATTATGCTTTTTAGCTGGTATTGCACCACCTGACATCCGCTGGGAAGTAGCAGCCAGCAATGAAAGGACCAAGGCATTGACATCTCCAGCCCATCCCCTGTTTGGATATCAGCCAGCATGCTAATGACTTAAATCAAGAAACACTTTCCTAAGATTGAGAGATATATTCACAGGAACACCTCAGCAAGCAAGAATCCAAAAATGGCAGGCTAGCACCCAGCACCTTAATCAGTGACTGAGACCAGGTGAGAAACTCCCTGGACAACTTGGAAGGCGCTGAAGAGGCTGCTCTCTGGCACCACAAGATGCAGAGGTAACCTGAAGAAATGGGTCCACAAAATGGGAGTCCACGACATGCGAGTGTGGAGAAGAGCAAACCACACACCACTTATTAAAATGCAGCTTGAGCCCTGCCACATGCACAATGGAGGACCTTCTTACAGTGACACCAGAGGCACTGTGTTACAACTCAGAGTAAGCTTCACCTTGCTTCCAAACACCACCACACAAGAGCTGTAATTTTATAGTTTATTGAGGAAGAAATCAAAGTCAGAATAAAGAATAAGCATTGCAAAGTTCCAAAGATTAAGCTTAAATGAAGAATATAGTTCCAAAGATCTTCAGGTAAAAGTAGGAGACACAGTACTATTGGCAAAGTTCAAACCAGAGTCCCAGGTACAAGCAATGAAACAATTGCCCCATGAATCACAATACAAGAAATCCCAAGCGTACTGCTTTCCAGGCTAAGGTTATTTCATGAAGCTTTCAGGCTAATAAGCTAGGTTGAACTGACACTTTCCCTTGGTTTGCAAGAAGCCCAAATACCTTTCTAACATGAAAACATTACATGAAATCATTGCGATGACCTTTCATTGAGCTGGGCTCTTGTCTGCCGGCCAGGCGAGATCAAGACGAGCTTGCCGGGTCAGGTCACTGTCAAGGCTTTCAGTACTTTCAGTATCAGCATGGGAATGAATGCACAATATGGGAAGTAAATATGGTAAATATGGTAAGGCGTCAACATTGCTCTATAAAGAAATCAAGTAATACAAAAGATGACTGGAATTATTTTATTTGACAAATATTGGACAAGGAGCTACATCACAGATGTATTTATTTGTTTACCACGTTTATATACCACCCCTCTCAGCCCAGAGGTGACTCGGAGCAGTTCAAGTCTGTGTTAAAGTCTCATCTGGCTAGAAAGTCTAGCTGTAAACATTTCCCGTTCATTGGAGACCACATCAGTTCTCGACTCTCCAGGAAAGCTACAGGTCAAGGGATCCTCTCCCTTTGAACTTCTTTGCAGAACGCTCGCTGGCGCGGAACTGGATCCGGCTTCCGTAGATGTAGGACACAAACCCATCCAGTTCGATGCTGAAGACGTTGTTAAACTTTGGGATAACTGAAAAAACAGAAGCCAAAAATAAAAAAAAAACATGATCACAGGGATAGAAAGTTTGCTATCCAAAGTTTGCTTGTGTGTATGTATGTATATGTGCACATATGTATTATGTATAGGTGGAGACCTCAGTGGTGCAGCAGGTTAACCCACTGAGCTGCTGATCTTGCTGACCAAAAGGTTAGCAGTTCGAATCCAAGGAGCAAGGTGAGCTCCTGATGTTAGCTTCAGCTTCTGCCAACCTAGCAGTTCAACCTAGCATCAGTAGGTATTGCTAAAGCGGGAAAGTAACAGTACTCCATGAAGTCATGCTGGCCACATGATCTTGGAGGTGTCTATGGACAATGCTCTTCAGATTAGAAATGGAGATGAGCACCACCCCCCAGAATCGGACATGAGTAGACTTAATGTCAAGGGGATATGTCAGGATCCAGTTTCCGGAGCCCAGACTTTGGCACCGAAAACTAGACTCCTGACGTTTTACCCCGATAAGGAATCTGCAGCTGGTGACCTTGGAGGGAAGCAGTTGTCTGGTGGCGGGAAGTTTTGCGCGGGGTATTGGGGTTGGCGGGAGTGCACGTTTTGAACTGGTGGGAGTGTATATAAGGGAGTGCCTGCTGCGACCAGGCAATCCCGGCTTTTCTGTGTCTGAGTATCTGATAGTAAAGTTCTTTGTTCGACTACGATGGAAGTCTCGTGTCATCATTGAGCCCAGCTGTTGTGAGCTGACATTAAGCCGGGATTCCTGCACCATCCTGCAGCAGTAGTGAGGTGCTATGATGGAAGAGAGGAGCGAATCCCCTTTGGAGGAGGAAGAAGACACCGTCCTCGGAGCGATGGGAGGAAAAATAACATCGCCTCTTGGAGAAGCCGAGGCAGAGCTCGAAAGAGTGGCTGCGCTCGCCTCCTCGACAGCGTATGCTAACCCTAACGGGGTCACCCAAAGGCGAACGAGAGAGGGCGCAGGAAGGGGCAGCAGCGAGATAGACTTCACCTCCCCCCAAAGGTATGGCTGCTTGGAGGAGAGAGTGGCTGCCATGGAAACCACATTAGCCATGATGTCGAGGCTGATGGATCGCCTGGCCCCCCTGCTGGAAGAATCCCAGCCCCGAGCGGAGTCGCCTTGGGAGGCGAGTGCGGGGAGCGGCCAGATCCTGGGGGCGAGACGTAGGACCCAGGAGCCTCCAAAGGACGGAGGAGAAGGAATGCCACGGGGAGCCGCTACAACCCCACAGCCCTTTCCTGTAGCAATCCCAGCCGGTGCAGGACATGGTACGGGGCAACCCGGAGCGCTGTTCGGGCAGCCCGCCCAACCGGGAGGAATGGCACACGCAGGCGCCCAGGGGATGCAGCCCCAACCCCTGCAACAGAGGAGAGAGGAGTTACGTGCAGAATTTGGAGGGAAGTCTGAAGACCTTGATTTCTTCCTGACGCTGGTACGAGGGTATCTGGAGGATAACATGCATACTTTCAGATCGGAGGCCAGCCGAGTGAGAGCCGTAGGAGCAGCGTTGAGGGGAGACGCCGCAAGTTGGTACGTCCAGCTCCATGCCCGACGTGACCCATGCCTGGGGTCAGCAAGGGCGTTCTTAGCTGCTTTGGAAGCGCGCTTCCGGGACCCCCTCGAGCGCATCAAGGCGAGAGATAGGTTGAAAACCATCACTCAAGGCCAGAAAAGTGTGTCGGAGTTCGCCGAGGAATTCCAGTTGCTAGCAGAAAGGGTTCCAGAGTGGTCAGCCCAAACCAAAATAGAAATATTTAAAGAGGGCTTGAGGAAGGAGTTGCTGGCCTGGGCGCTCCACCGCGATGACCCGGGAACGATCCAAGGATGGATCCAACTAGCCGGGCAGGTTGAGACGACATTGGCCCAAATCAGGAGGCATCGAGGAGCCGCGGCGCAGACGGGACCGCCGAGGATGGAGAGCCGGAAACCTGGAGGGGAGCCGCCCAAGAAAGAGCCTGCGAGTGGAGAGAGAAGCCGGCAGAACGGGTGCTTTATTTGCGGCCGTCTAGGCCATAAAGCCTCCGGCTGTTGGCAGAGGAAGGGGGGGGATCCCCCACGGCCCAAAACCAAAGCCGCTGCTGGAAAGAAAGCGGAGGAATGTTTCCCCCTGGAGGCCCCAATGGGATCCTTGGTGAGTCACAGCCCTGGAATGTTAGTCTTCCCCATCAGGCTAGAAGGGATGGGTAAATGGGCTAGCTGCAAAGCCTTTGTAGATTGCGGGTGCTCCAGGAACATAATGACTCCAGAATTAGCAGAGGAACTGGAGTGCGAGAAAATGTCTTTACAGACCCCCATAGCTTTCACTCAATTAGACGGGTCGATGGCATCAGGCGCCCCGGCGACCTTTGAAGTTAAGGGAGTGAAATGCAAAGTGGGCGGCTGGGAGGGTGAGATAACATTTGTTGTCTCCCAATTAGCAACATACAATATAATCCTGGGGATGCCATGGCTGCGAGGAGCAAATCCCTGCATAGATTGGGAGGAGAGAAGCCTGAGATTCCCAAAGACGCCAACGGGGATGGGAGGTAGAGGCGAGGAAAGTAAGCCAAAGGATTGGGTACAGGACATTCCCCCCCAATACCGGGACTTTGCTGATGTTTTTGATGAGAAGGAAGCTGACAGACTACCCCCCAAAAGGAGAGTTGAGGTGAAAATTGAATTACACAAGGACGTTACACTCCCTAAAGCCAAGATTTACCCTATGTCGGCTAGGGAGATGGACGAATTGAAACAGTACATAGACAAAAACCTCGCGCGGGGGTTCATTGAGCCTTCTGATTCCCCCCTTGGGGCCCCCGTGCTATTTAGACGGAAAAAGGACGGTTCACTTCGATTGTGTGTAGACTATAGGGGGCTAAACGCCGTGAGCACAAGCACCTGTTACCCTTTACCTCTAACCAAGGACTTATTATCTAGACTGGCGGAGGGGAGGGTGTTTACGAAACTGGACTTGATTGAGGCTTACCACAAAATCAGAGTGAAGCCGGAGGACAGGTGGAAAACCGCATTCTCAAGTGCGTTAGGATTGTACCAATTCTGTGTTTTACCTTACGGCCTAAAAGGAGGGGGAGGGGCATTCATGCAGATGATCAACGAAGTGTTACACCCATTATTGTACTGTGGGGTCTTTTGTTATATTGATGATGTAATAATGAAATGAAGATCAACATACTCAATTGGTGAGGGAGGTACTCCAAAGGCTAAGGGAGGCAAAATTGTTCGCCAAACTAGCCAAATGTGAGTTTAACAAGAAGCAAATTGACTTCTTAGGATATAGAATATCCCACAAAGGTATTGCTATGGACCCCACGAAGGTGGAAGACGTGAGAGCATGGGAGCCCCCAACTACACGCAAACAACTACAGTCATTTTTGGGGTTCGCAAACTTTTACCGCTCGTTCATAAAAGATTTTGCCCAGCTCACGTTACCACTCACAGAACTGCTGAAAACGAAAGGGAAGGGGGAGTCAGCCAAAACACGATCCCCGGGGGCTAAGCTAGTATGGTCAAAGGAATGTCAAGATGCCTTCGAAAAGCTAAAGTGTAGATTTACAGAAGAACCACTTTTAACACACCCTGATACGGCCAAGAAGTTCGTGCTGCATTGCGATGCATCTAATTGGGCATATGGAGCAGCACTTATGCAAAGAGATTCTGAGGGAAACTTAAAGCCCTGTGGGTTCATATCCAAAAAATTCACTGAAACAGAACACAATTGGCCTATTTGGGAAAAGGAGGCACTAGCGATAATGAGGGCATTGGAATGTTGGAGGCACCTACTAGAAGGGAGCAGAATCCCATTTGAGGTGTGGACTGACCATAGAAACTTGCAGTACCTAACATCCCCCCGCAAATTGTCAGCCAAACAGATTCGGTGGGGTCAGTTCTTCTCACGTTTCCAATTTGAATTAAAATTCCACAAAGGTAAAATGAACGTGGTCGCAGACACGCTCTCGCGTATGCCGAAACAAGAGGGGAAAGAAGAGCGAGTACTAGAAAGCCTCATATCAGTGCAGCGGGGGGGAATGGCGGTCGTGACTAGGGCACAAGCGGAGCGCTGCAAAGAGATGGTTGGAGTAGGAGGAGGGGGTAAGGATTGGGAAGAGGAGTTGAAGCAAGCATATAAGGAAGACAAATGGCTCCAGGAGAATATGGAAAAGGTGGAGTGGAATAGCGGATTGGGGTTCGTGAACAGAAAGCCATACATTCCAAAGGTTTTGCAGGAGGAGATGATGAGGAGGTGCCATGATAATAAAAGTGCGGGGCATTTTGGGATCACAAAAACGTCCAAACTACTAGCTAGGCAATGTTGGTGGCCTAGGATGAGGGGCGATATCAAACTATACGTTTCTAAATGTGACACTTGCGCAAAAAGCAAAACCCCCACTACAAAACCATCAGGTCTGTTACAAAAGGTGGCTGACCCCATGAGACCGTGGAGCTCAATCGCATTCGATTTTGTTGGGGAACTACCACCCAGTAGGGGCCGATATATATGGACAATTCTCAAAGCAGGCACACTTTGTGGCACTCCCTAAACTACCCTCAGCAGAGAAACTAGCAGAGTTATTTGTGAAACATGTTTACCGTCTGCATGGATGTCCAGACCAGGTTATCAGTGACAGAGGGGTTCAGTTCACCGCAAACTTCTGGAAGGAATTCATGCGGTTGTTAGGGGCGGAAAGAACATTGAGCTCCGCGTTCCACCCCATGACAAACGGGGGGGTGGAACGCACCCAGCAAACTTTAGGGACGTTCCTCAGATCATACACAAATCAGCGTCAGTCAGACTGGGTCGATCTACTCCCGTATGCAGAACTAGCGTACAACGCAGCCCCACACTCAACAACAGGAGAGTCCCCATTTAAAGTAGTGTACGGCCAAGAGGTCTCTCCCCTTCCGAGGTTGCCAGAGTGGGAGGAAAAAGAGCAGAGGAGGGAGGAGGATTGGGCAGACAGAATGAGGACCAGCTGGGAAGGTGTTGTCACGGCCTTACGGGAAGCCCAAAAGAAACACAAACTGTTTGCTGATCGGAAACGGAGGGAAGGGGACAAATTAGAGGAGGGCGAGTTGGTCTGGCTGTCGGCGAAAAACATCAGGGTGGATGCACCATCTCGGAAACTCACCCCACGGTTTCTGGGCCCATTCAGAATCTTGAATAAAATAAATGATGTCACATATAAGCTGAAGTTACCCAAAAGTTTGGGAAAAGTTCACCCCGTGTTTCATTGTGGACTACTCAAAAAATACCAAGGCCCCCTCGATCCAGAAAGTATATAGAGATGTTTCCTGTTTTCATTTCAGGAGGAGGAAGAGGAGGAGGACGTCATGTCAGGATCCAGTTTCCGGAGCCCAGACTTTGGCGCCGAAAACTAGACTCCTGACGTTTTACCCCGATAAGGAATCTGCAGCTGGTGACCTTGGAGGGAAGCAGTTGTCTGGTGGCGGGAAGTTTTGCGCGGGGTATTGGGGTTGGCGGGAGTGCACGTTTTGAACTGGTGGGAGTGTATATAAGGGAGTGCCTGCTGCGACCAGGCAATCCCGGCTTTTCTGTGTCTGAGTATCTGATAGTAAAGTTCTTTGTTCGACTACGATGGAAGTCTCGTGTCATCATTGAGCCCAGCTGTTGTGAGCTGACAGGGATACATTTACCTTTATGTATGCATGTGTGTGTGTGGATATATATATATATATATACACACACACACATACATAAAGGGAACATGTATGTATATATGTATGTATATAATGTCAATGGGATACGTTTACCTTTATGTATGCATGTGTGTGTATGTTGTGTGTGTGTATATATACACACACAGGGAACATGTATGTATATAATGTCAAGGGGATATGTTTACCTTTATGTATGCATGTGTGTGTGTGTGTTGTGTGTGTATATATATAAACACACACAGGGAATATGTATTTATATATGTATGTGTATAATGTCAAGGGGATACGTTTACCTTTATGTATGTGCATTATGTGGTGTGTGTGTGTGTGTGTATGTATGTATGTATATATATATATATATATATATATATATATATATATATATATATATATATACTGCTGTACCCGCCACGCGTTGCTGTGGCCAACCTTCCCCTTCCTTCCTTCCTTCCTTCCTTCCTTCCTTCCTTCCTTCCTTCCTTCCTGTTTCCTTCCTTCCTTCCCGTCTTTCCTTCTCTCCTTCCTTCCTTCTCTATCTCTTTCCTTCCTTCCCCCTTTTTCTTTCTCTTCTGCTGTCTCTTTCCTTTCTTCTCTCTTTCCTTCTTTCCTTCCCTCTCTCTCTATATCTCCCCCCTTCCTTCCTTCCTTTCCCCTTTTTCTTTCTCTTCTGCTGTCTCTCTTTTCTTCCTTCTCTCTTTCCCTCTTTCCTTCCCTCCCTCTTTCTCTACATCTTCCCCCCTTCCTTCGCTCCTTCTTTCCTTCCTTCTTTCTTTTTTCTTTCCTTCTCTCCTTCCTTCCTTCTCTAACTTTCCTTCCTCCCCTTTTTCTTTCCCTCCCTCTTTCTCTCCTTTCTTCCTTTTCTACCTCATTCCTTCCTTCTTCTTTCCCTCCCTCTTTCTCTCCTTTCTTCCTTTTCTACCTCATTCCTTCCTTCCTTCTTTCTTTCCCTCCCTCTTTCTCTCCTGTCAGGGGTGATTTGAATGCAATATTCCTGCTTCTTGGCAGAATGGGGTTGGACTGGATGGCCCATGAGATCTCTTCCAACTCTTTGATTCTATGATTCTTCCTTGACAGATTAGAAGGGGGCGTGGCTTGGAGGTAACGTGAGGAGGGAGGAGGGGAGGGGGGATGGGTTTAGAAGGGGGCGTGGCTTGGAGGTAACGTGAGGAGGGAGGAGGGAGGGGGGGTGGGTTTAGAAGGGGGCGTGGCTTGGGGGTAACGTGCGGAGGGGAGGGGGGGGGTGAGGGGGCGCGCGCGCGCGTGTGTGTGCATGTGTGTGTGTGCCGCGCCGGAGGGGGGAGAGGGGGCGCGTGCGCACGTGTGTGTGCATGTGTGTGTGTGCCGCGCCGGAGGGGGGAGAGGGGGCGCGTGCGCGCGTGTGTGTGCATGTGTGTGTGTGCCGCGCCGGAGGGGGGAGAGGGGGCGCGTGTGTGCCGCGCCGGGGGGGGGTGGGGGTGCGCGCGCGTGTGTGCCGCGCCGGGTGGGAGAGGGGGCACGTGTGTGTGTGCCGTGCCGGGGGGGGAGGGGCCGTGCGCACGCGCGTGTGTGTGCCGCGCCGGGGGGGGAGGGTGAGGGGCCATGTGTGTGCGCGCGCCAGGGAGTTTGCGCCAGTGCGCATGCTCAGTTGCTTTGCCGTTTATTGTGGTTGTTGTTGTGTGTTTTTGATTTCTGAGTGGATTAGTTTGTACCTTGTTGGTTGCCCTTGGGGCATGGGAAGTTTGGTGGAGTTTCGTTGGGGGTTTTTAGAGTTTTGTTTCCTCATATGACGCCAGGAGGAAATTTATATATATAGATGGAACATATATGTATATATGTGTGTGTATACACACACACACATATACAGGGAACAAGGACATATTTAAGTGTCAAAAATAAATAATATATATATATATATATATATATATATATATATATACACACACACACACACACACATACATACATACACATATACATACACACACACACACACACACACACACATATATATATAGGATTGACACTTAAATATGTCCCTGTCCCGACTTACAAACAAATTCAACTTTAGAACAAACCTATTGAAGTGATCTTGTTTGTAACTTGGGGACTGCCTGCACATGGCACCTTACAAAGAACGACAACACTGCCTTCCACCCAAAGGCACTACAAATGGATTTAAATCATGGATGTAATACTGTGAAGAAACAGGTTCCAACTAAGAGTTTTCTATGCTCACTTTTCAGTTTGTCTTCTTTTGTGATGATTTTGAAAACGTGCTTCATTTCCTGCACGATGAAACCCGTGATGCCGACATAGGAGGGACACTTGGATTTCGTGACTAGAAAAAATGAAACCAGATGATTAGAGTGACGAAGCGTTGTTATGACACACACTTAACTACATGTGGCATGGTTTTCTTGGCCAAAAAAATATATCATGCACATTTCTGAAGCTTTCTCATCAGACAAAAGATGATTAAAAAAACAGCTGGAAAAGATGTTTTATATCATGAATTTTAAAAAAACAAGGCATGTGAAGGACCAGAATAGTGTCTCTTGACGTAAATGTGGAAGCTGGCCATGTAAAATAAGATGGCAGAAAGTCCGGAGTGACTTGAGAAACTGCAAGTCACTCCTGGTGTGGGAGAATTGGCCATCTGCAAGGACGTTGCCCAGGGGACGGCCAGATGTTTTATCATCCTGTGGGAGGCTTCTCTCATATCCCGCATGAGAAGCTGGAGCTGACGGATGGGTGCTCACCCCGCTCCCTGGATCTGAACTGCTGACCTTTTGGGCAGCAGTCCTGCCAGCACAATTGTGCGACCGGGGACTCAATGGAACTGAAGAAATTTAAATCAGAATATGCAATTAATGCAGGAATAGAGCAAGGATACCTGTAACGAGAGCGCCGTGGAGATCAGCTTTTAGCAGTTTTGTTTGAATCATCTGTGGCTGCCTAGTTAAAAAACATAGCAATTAATATTCTTTAAAGCATGAAACAGAATAAACTAAATTGGAAGACAAAACATCAAAGGAACACCCAACTATTCACTTCAAGAATCCAAAGAGGATTCTACACGTAGGTTTGACAATATTATTATGCATCCACCCACACACACACACACACATATGGATGCATGCATGCATATATATATATATATATATATATATATATATATATATATATGCTGATGATTGTGCCATTACCGCTCAAGCAGGGAGCTTTGAGTTGGTTGAACAGAAGCTCTCCGAAGCTCTAGGTGCCCTTACCGCCTACTACAGGGGAAACCAGCTGATCCCTAATCCATCTAAAACACAGACATGTGCCTTTCACCTTAAGAACAGACAAGCATCCCGAGCTCTGAGGATTACCTGGGAAGGAATCCCACTGGAGCATTGCAGCGCACCCAAATACCTGGGAGTCACTCTGGACTGTGCTCTGACCTACAAGAAGCACTGCCTGAACATCAAGCAAAAAGTGGGTGCTAGAAACAATATCATACGAAAGCTGACTGGCACAACCTGGGGATCACAACCAGACACAGTGAAGACATCTGCCCTTGCGCTATGCTGCTCTGCTGCTGAGTACGCATGCCCAGTGTGGAACACATCTCACCACACTAAAACAGTAGATGTGGCTCTTAATGAGACATGCCGCATTATCACGGGGTGTCTGCGCCCTACACCACTGGAGAAATTACACTGCTTAGCCGGTATTGCACCACCTGACATCCGCCGGGAAGTAGCAGCCAATAGTGAAAGGACCAAGGCAGAGACATCTCCAGCTCATCCCTTGTTTGGGTATCAGCCAGCACGTCAACGACTTAAATCAAGAAATAGTTTTCTAAGCTCTACAGAGACACTCGCTGGAACACCTCAGCAAGCGAGAGTCCAAAAGTGGCAGGCTCAAACCCAGAACCTCAATGGCGGATACCAAATGAGAGACTCCCCCCTGGGCACACAGAAGACTGGGCGACTTGGAAGGCGCTGAACAGACTGCGCTCTGGCACCACGAGATGCAGAGCCAACCTCGAGAAATGGGGCCACAAAGTGGAATCCACGACATGCGAGTGTGGAGAAGAGCAAACCACTGACCACCTGCTGCAATGCACCCTGAGCCCTGCCACATGCACAATGGAGGACCTTCTTGCGGCAACACCAGAGGCACTCCAAGGGGCCAGATACTGGTCAAAGGACATTTAATCAACTACCAAGTTTGCAAACTTTGTGTTTTTTTTATCTGTTTGTTTGTTTTGTTCTGTTAGAAATGTAATACAATGGTCTGGTTGCTGATGACACGATAAATAATAATAATAATAATAATAATAATAATAATAATTATTATTATTATTATTATTATTATTATATATACACAAACACACACACACATTCGAGTATAAGCCGACCCGAATATAAGCCGAGGCATCTAATTTTACCACAAACAACTGGGAAAATGTATTGATTTGAGTCTAAGTCAAGGGTGGGAAATGCAGCAGCTACTGGTCAATTTCAAAATAAAAATAGATACCAATAAAATTACATTAACTGAGGCATCAGTAGGTTTAATGTTTTTTTAATATTTATATAAAACTGTAATTTAAGATAAGACTGTCCAACCATTATTCTAACCTTCTTCATGTAAATGTGCCTATGTATCCTTCCAATAATTAAGGGAGTAAAATAATAAATGCAATAAAAATAATAATAATAGAGTAAAATAATGTAAATGTAAAATAATACGTAATAACAGAGTAAAATAATAAATGTAATAATAATAATAATAATAAGAGTAAAATAATAAATGCAATAAAAATAATGGAAATAATAATAATAATAATAATAATAATAATGGAAATGTAAAAAAATACATAATAACAGAGAAAAATAATAAATGTAATAATAATAATAATAATAGTAAAATAATAAATGCAATAAAAATAATGGAAATAATAATAATAATAATAATAATAATAATGGAAATGTAAAAAAATACGTAATAACAGAGTAAATAAATGTAATAATAATAATAAGAGTAAAATAATAAATGCAATAAAAATAATGTAAATAATGGAAATAATAATAATAATAATGGAAATGTAAAAAAATACGTAATAACAGAGAAAAATAATAAATGTAATAATAATAATAATAGTAAAATAATAAATGCAATAGAAATAATAACAGTAGAGTAAAATAATGAAAGCGAGGAGGAGCTGAGGAGCCTTCTAATCAAGGTGAAAGAAGAAAGTGCAAAAGCTGGGTTGCAGCTAAACGTCAAAAAAACCAAGATTATGGCAACAAGAATGATTGACAACTGGAAAATAGAGGGAGAAAATGTGAATGCCGTGACAGACTTTGTATTTCTAGGCGCAAAGATGACTGTAGATGCAGACTGTGGCCAGGAAATCAGAAGACGCTTCCTTCTTGGGAGGAGAGCAATGTCCAGTCTCGATAAAATAGTAAAGAGTAGAGACATCAGACTGGCAACAAAGATCCATTGCCTAGTCAAAGCCATGGTCTTCCCTGTAGTCACCTACGGATGTGAGAGCGGGACCTTAGGGAAGGCTGAGCGAAGGAAGAGAGATGCTTTTGAGCTGTGGTGTTGGAGGAAAGTGCTGAGAGTGCCTTGGACTGCGAGAAGATCCAACCAGTCCATCCTCCAGGAAATAAAGCCCGGCTGCTCACTGGAGGGAAGGAGACTAGAGTCCAAGATGAAGTACTTTGGCCACGTCATGAGGAGACAGCAAAGCCTAGAGAAGGGAATGATGCTGGGGAAAGTGGAAGGTAAAAGGAAGAGGGGCCGACCAAGGGCAAGATGGATGGATGGCATCCTTGAAATGACTGGCTTGACCTTGAAGGAGCTGGGGGTGATGATGGCCGACAGGGAGCTCTGGCGTGGGCTGGTCCATGAGGTCACGAAGAGTCGGAGACGACTGAACGAATGAACAACAACAACAAAAAATAATGTAGAAACAACAACAACAATAATAACAACAACAACAACAGAGTAAAATAATAAATAACCTTGACTTGAGTATAAGCTGAGGGGGACTTTTTCAGACTAAAAAAGGAGCTGAAAAACTAGGCTTATACTCAAGTATATTATATATATGAGAGAATGATATTAACACTCACTTTGATGGATGGAATCATGCCTGGCTGCAGACATCACATAGGACTAAGTCTACAAGGTATGGAATTTCTAGTATTTCTTCACTTGAGCCCTACAAGAGTATTTGAAGTTTTGCTACTTGTCATATTGAGTTTTCTTTCTTTCTTCCTCTTCTTAATAGTCAAAAACTGATTGGGGACAAAAGCTCTCTTAACACATATATTGCTGTGCAAATTTTGACAAGCTGGAATGTGTCCAGAGGAGGGTGGCTAAAATGATCAAGGGATTGGAGAACAAGCCCTATGAGGAGTGGCTTAAAGAGCTGGGCATGTTTAGCCTGAAGAAGAGAAGGCTGAGAGGAGATATGGTAGCCATGTATAAATATGTGAGAGGAAGCCACAGGGAGGAGGAGGGAGCAAGCTTGTTTTCTTCTGCCCTGGAGACTAGGACGCAAGGGAACAATGGCTTCAAACTACAAGAAAGGAGATTCCATCTGAACATTAGGAAGAACTTTCTAATGGTGAGAGCGGTTCAGCAGTGGAACTCTCTGCCCCGGAGTGTAATGGGGGCTTCTTCTTTGGAGGCTTTTAAACAGAGGCTGGATGACCATCTGTCGAGGGTGCTTTGAATGCAATTTTCCTGCTTCTTGGCAGAATGGGGTTGGACTGGATGGCCACTCAGAACAAATGCTTCATCTCATATGAGCAATGTGTTGTTTGGCTTTGGTGTTTCAATATTACGGAAAACCTGATTCTGTATCCCCAAAGTCTTCTATGGACAGGGTATTTTTTCATTATGCTTCAATAAAATGAAATTGTCACTAGAACTAGAAAAAAAAATTCCAATTGATCTGTCCAGATGAAGGAAAAAAAGAGTAATACTTCTGCTTACTAAAGGTAACAATGTGATTTTCTGGATCTGTTTTCTCATGTTGTCTCTCATCATTGAGGTCTACCTATGATGTCAATTGTAGGTCTCTCTCATCTTTTTAAGTGGGAGAACTTGTACAATTGGTATCTGATTAAATAGTCGTCGTCCCCACCCCCAACTGTATCAGAATGTATGGCCAAACCTTTTTTCCTAATTCTATATGAAATATATAGGAATTATTCCAAGTCTCAATCCCCTAGTCACACTCAGAAAAGGGAGAACATCAGAAGGTGAGCATCACTTAAACGTAATAGAATATTTGCCACTTGGGAACAAGAATTCAACTTGCTAAGAAGCTGTCTTTATAGCAATAGCAATAAAGTAAGATTAGTAATGCATTTATTACAATAGCCCCAACTGTCGCTTAAAATAAAGGAGCTTACGCATCAGGCCGGAGTCCGTTGCAGAGGTCTCTGATGTACTGCTTCCATAATTCGTGCAATGGGACAAATATCTCATACCTGCACAAGAAGGCAAAGATTAGGTTCCTATTCAATAGCAACCGTTATCTCAAAGAATGTGCCTAGCATATTCAGGATTAATTAGGAAACTTTTTTTTTGCTCCTTCAACACTCTATATAAATAAAAATGTAATGTTTGTTTGTGGGATTAACACAACTCAAAAACCACTGGACGAATTGACACCAAATTTGGACACAAGACACCTCTCAGGCCAAAGAGTGACCAGCACTCATAAGAACACTGAAAAACACAGCAGAAGGGACTTTAAAACCCCCAAAAAAATTACAACGCATGCGCAAAACCACATATATATATACACAAACACACATATATACACATATGCATATACACACATAAAACACATACACAGAAAGGGGAAAGGAAGGGAGAGAAGGAGGGGAAGGAGAGAAGGAAGGAAAGAAGGGTAGAGAAGGAAGGAAGGGAGAGAAGAAGGAAAGAAGGAGGGAAGGAGAGAGAAGGAAAGAAAGAAAGGTAGAGAAGGAAGGAGGGAGAGAAAGAGGAGGGAGAGAAGAAGGGAAAGGAGGGAAGGAAAGAAGGAAGGAAAGAAAGGTAGAGAAGGAAGGAAAGAGGGAGAGAAAGAAGGAAGGAAAGAAAGAAGGGAGAAGGAAGGAAGGAAAGAAGGAAGGGAGGAGAAAAGAAGGAAAGAAAGAGGGAGAGAAGGAAGGAAGAGGGAGAGAATGAAATAAAAAAGTGAAAGAGGGAAGGAAGGAAAGAAGGAACGAAAGAGAGAAAGAGGGAGGGAAGGTAGGAGACAAGACAGGATGGAACCAAAGAGCAAAGGAAGCGAGGAAAGAAACAGGCAGAGAAGGAAGAAAGAAGAAGAGAAAGAAAAAAGAGAGAAGGAAGGAAGGAGAGAAAGAAAGGAGGAGAGAAAGAGGGAGGGAAGGTTGGCCACAGCAACGCGTGGCGGGTACAGCTAGTCTATATAAATAAAAATGTAATGTTTGTTTGTGGGATTAACACAACTCAAAAACCACTGGACAAACTGACACCAAATTTGGACACAATACACCTCTCAGGACAACGAGTGACCATCACTCATAAAAACACCAAAAACACAGCAAAGGAGACTTAAAAAGCCAAAAAAGCAAAAAAGAACAAAAAACGCTACAGCGCATGTGCAAAAACATCTCCCTTGGCAAACAAAACACACAATAGCATATCAACACTCTCTTCCAGACTACAGCTCCCAGCATCCCCAAGACTAGGCCCTTTAGGAGAGGAAGATGATGCAAAAGTACTGTTTCCAAGCTGCAAGCTTTCTTCCCCTTGGATTTCGTTGAGAGCATCCCAATCCCTGCATAATTCCAATTTCCAATTTCTGGACTGCAACTCCTAGCAATCCTCCAGTTAGATAGATTAGATAGAGATAGGTAGGTAGATAGATCAATCAGGACTGCTGGGAGTTGCAGTCCAAGAATAGGTAGAGAAGGGAGAAAGGGGGGGAAGAGAATGGGAAAGAAAAGGAGGGAAGGAAGGGAAGAGGAAGAGAAGGAAGGAAGGAAAGAATGAAAGAAGGAAGAGAAAGAGGGAAGGAAGGTTGGCCACAGGAACACGTGGCAGGTACAGCTAGTAGTTTTATAAATGTGAAAATAAACACTTCGAGATATCAATCCAATAGTCCAGACAGTGGATTTCCGATTTGAAATGACTTTCACTAGGGCTGGGCGGTTTCGTTTCGTTAATTTGTAATTCGTTAATAATTCGTTAATTTTTTCAATTACAAAACGATAACGAACCATTCTGGAGCAATTTTTTTAAAAAAACGAATTTTTAAATAGTTTCGTAAATGCTTCGTATTCCGTTATTGTATTCGTTTCGTTATTGTTTTGAGGTCGTTTCGTTATTATTTCCGCATGTCTGGGGCAAGTTTTATGGTTGTTTTTTGTTTAATTAGTGAAAAAAAATTATAATATCACACCAACAGTCAACAACAGAGGGAGAGGGAAGCTTCAGAAGTTTTTGGAGGTTTTTTAGCGTATTTCGCGGTCGCGTCCGCCATTAACGAATCGATTCGTTATTGTTTCGGAAATTGATTCGTTAATGTTTTGTAATTTTTTCACATTTACGAAATTTCGTAAATATCGAACTTTTTTAAAGGAAAATTTTGTAATTATTTTAAATAACAAAACGCAAAAAACCCCAAAAAACGAATTGATTTTAGAAACAAATTTTTCCGTTGTTACCCAGGCCTAACTTTCACAGCTTATATTTTACAATCCAGGATTTCCACAACAAGATCATCGGATGCCCTCTAGTGGCCAAGCATCATCCATCCATCCCAGAATCATTTGAAACTCCCAAGCTGATACTTGGAATAGTCGTTTTATACAAATTTTGGATATTAGTAGAGCATGAAAATAGCATTTTAAAAAACAATTAACTCCTCAGGCGCATGGCCAATGGGAATTCGGGACTCCTGGTCTTTAAAAAAGACTGCTTTCTGCCTGGGGGAATCCTATGTCGGGAGGTGATTAGTTGGCCCTGATTGTTTCTTGTTTTTGCACCCCAGGACAGGAAAAGCCCTTTGACTTTAAACACCACACCGTTGGATGGGAAACAATCCTTTTATTGAAGATAATTAAAAAACAATACGGTAAAAAACAGTTTAAAGAAATAGGTAAATCCAGTTAGGTAGGAAGATAAGCAGGAACAAAGTCGTCCAGGGTAATAGTCCAGCAAAGCCCATAAAAACAAAGGCAAAACTTCCCGTTTAAAATGCAAGAAATCAGGAAACATGAATCCAAGGCATGAATATAGAGCATAAAATCCAAGAATCAAAACATGAATTTCCCAAGCAAAACTTCCATGAACAAGAACGAGATCTTGAGTTGATTCCAAACGATGCTTCATCTGACTACATATCCTACATTTGGGATTTTTATCTCCTTATTAGCTAAGTCTCTAGCATTCAGAAATTGGTTTCATTTTAACTGAGAACTTCTTATCCTTTTCCCTCAAAGCCTGGCACACTGCTGAAGCCACTGCTCGGCTCTTCTGTTTTGACTTATCTCCTCCCATCTATCTATTTGCTCATTCTCCATTTGCTCATTAATTTCTGCAGCTGGGCCAAGTGCCGAGCTGTTTTCATGTTCCCTATTATGGGAACTCTCTGGTAACAATTCAGAAAGCACACCATCATCCCCACACCCCTCAGGGACATTCGCATGAGAAACTACACTTTGCACAGGGATCTCCTGGTCATTCTCTGCGTGACCGCATCTCCGTATACGAACCCACACGATCTCTCCGATCATCTGGAGAAGCCCTACTCATGATCCCATCATGGTGGGGATGAGGGACACGGCCTTCTCTGTGGTGCCCCCCCCCCGACTCTGGAACTCTCTCTCCAAGGACATCAGACAAGCCCCAACGTTGGCTGTCTTTAGGAAGAGCTTAAAGACGTGGTTGTTCCAGTGTGCCTTCCTAGAATAGGAAACTCCAAGCATCATGTCCCAAATGCACTTTACTAGAGATTTAAGATAGTCTGCACACCGCACTAATCTCCAAAAACCTATTCATTTCTCCTGCCATGCCCAGCATTTCTAAAATTTTTAATCATTACATTTGGCCCGGCCTTAGTTTTAAATGCGTCGTGGTGTTATTGTCTAATGTTTATTGCTTTGTTTTATGAGTTTATTTATTGTTGTATTTGTTATGCTGTTGTATTATTGATGTGTTGGGCCTCGGCCTCTTGTCAGCCGCACCGAGTCCTTCGGGACATGTTAGCGGGGTTTAAATAAAGGATTATTATTATTATTATTATTATTATTATTATTATTATTATTATATCACTGACCAAACCATTGCCATCTTGAAACTCATTGACATCACTCCCCACATCCAAAGCACCCTGATCCTGAAACTCAATCACAGGCTGAGCTCCAACACTTGTCTGGAATTTCTGTTTTTGAGTGTTGTTCTTTATTCACTATACTGATTTTAGAGTTTTTTTTAAATACTGGTAGCCAGATTTAAGTATTAAAGTCCTCCTGTTAGGAATTGTGGGAGTTAAAAACACCTAGAGGGAGGGACGAAGTTGGCCCATGCCTGCTTTACATCATAACAACACTAATGTTTCCATTCTGATAAACTTAGCACAATTAACATACTTCTGTTGCACAATTAACATACTTCTGTTGCACAATTAACATACTTCTGTTGCACAATTAACATACTTCTGTTGCTCCGGTTTGATCTCAAAGAGGCGCATCTCCCTCCTCTCTTTGGCAGACAGCCCTTTTCCTCTCTTCTTCTTCTGCCTCTTCCTCCGCTTGTGGAAATGCTCCAGGACCACGGCTTTGTAGGTCAGGTGCTCTTCGATGGCTTCATCACTCTTTCCGGGCAAACTCCGCTTCAGGAAGGTTTTCACAAAGGCCTCAGCCTCCTTCGAGCCTTCAGGCTGCAAAAGATACACAATGGGGGACGATGAGGCCTGGCTCGAGAGCAGTACGTGTGAAAAAGATCTTGGAGTCCTCGTGGACAACAAGTTAAACATGAGCCAACAATGTGATGTGGCGGCAAAAAAAGCCAATGGGATTTTGGCCTGCATCAATAGGAGCATAGTGTCTAGGTCCAGGGAAGTCATGCTCCCCATGCTCTATTCTGCTTTGGTTAGACCACACCTGGAATATTGTGTCCAGTTCTGGGCACCACAATTAAAGAGAGATATTGACCCTAAGCTGGAATGTGTCCAGAGGAGGGCGACTAAAATGATCAAGGGTCTGGAGAACAAGCCCTATGAGGAGCGGCTTAAGGAGCTGGGCATGTTTAGTCTGAAGAAGAGAAGGCTGAGAGGAGATATGACAGCCATGTATAACTATGTGAGAGGAAGTCATAGAGAGGAGGGAACAAGCTTGTTTTCTGCTGCCCTGGAGACTAGGACCCAATGGAACAATGGCTTCAAAATACAGGAAAGATTCCATCTGAACATGAGGAAGAACTTCCTGACTGTGAGAGCTGTTCAGCAGTGGAATTCTCCGCCCTGCAGTGTGGTGGAGGCTCCTTCTTTGGACGCTTTTAAACAGAGGCTGGATGGCCATCTGTCAGGGGTGATTTGAATACGATATTCCTGCTTCTTGGCAGAATGGGGTTGGACTAGATGGCCCAGGAGGTCTCTTCCAACTCTTTGATTCTATGAAAAGGAGGTCATTAGTAATACAAAGAGGCATGGCTGAGGGTACCCCATTTTCCTCTAGAGCAGTGGTTCCCAAACTTTGGGCCTCCAGGTATTCTGGACTTCAACTCCCAGAATTCCCACCCATCTTACCAGCTGTTAGGAACTGTGGGAGCAGAAGTCCAAAACACTTGGAGACCCAAAGGTTGGGAACCAGTGCTTTAGAAGGTCTCGGAGGCATTGAGAGTCATATGGACTGAACTTGAGACAGAGATCTCCCAGGTTCTCAGACCCACAATCTATAAACCCTTTGAGTGGTGGAACCTGCAAACCCACCTGCATGGTTTCAGAAGATGGGTTCGGAGGAAGATAGAAGAATGGGAGAAACTGGGTCCATTAAGACTTCCGAGGCTCCTTCTACACTGCCATACAATCCAGATTATCAAAGCAGATAATACACATTATCTCCCCTGAAATGGATTAGATGAGTCTACAATGTAATATATTCCAGATTATCAAATCAAATAATCCAGATTTTATATGGAAGCGTAAAAAGGATCTCAGTCTCACACAGTGTGTGTAAATGTAATTTAATATTATTAGGATGAACTACAGTCTTTGAATGTTGATTTTTTTAGGAAACCAAGGAAATAACCCTCTGTCTTAATCATGCAGATCAATAATAATAATAATAATAATAATAATAATAATAATAATACGACAGAGGGGCACAGAATAATAATAATAATAATAATAAGAAGAAGCAGAAGAAGAAGAAGAAGAAGAAGACAGAGGGGAGCAGAAGACATTTCCATCTTGACTTTACTAGTAATATAATATAATATATTATATATACATATAATATTTATAATATTATAATATAATATTTATTTATTTACTTTGCTTATATACCGCTGTATCTCAAGCCCGAAGGCGACTCACAGCGGTTCACAAACAGCAAAAACAGTAGAAACAGCAGTGGTTCCATACAACATATAACAATTGACTTAACACATTATCCATAAATTACCAATAAGCAATTACAATGCACAATTATTACAAAAACAACCGTACCCAATCTTCTCATCATCCAAGCGTAGTCCAGGTTCGTCGTCCATTGTTCCATTCCTATGTTCCATTACCAGATTGCACTAAATTACTCAAATGCCTGCACAAACATCCAGGTCTTCACCTTTTTGCGGAATACCATTAGAGATGGTGCTAGTCTAATGTCCGTAGGAAGGGCGTTCCACAGCCGAGGAGCCACCACCGAGAAGGCCCTATCTCTCGTCCCCGCCAGCCGAGCTTGAGAAGCAGGCGGGATCGAGAGTCAGGGTCTCCCCGGAAGATCTCAAAGTCCTGGTGGGTTCATAGGCAGAGATGCGGTCAGATAGGTAGCTTGGGCCAGAATCGTTTAGGGCTTTAAAGGCCAACGCCAGCACTTTGAATTCAGCCCGGTAGCAGATCGGTAGCCAGTGGAGTTGGCGCAACAGGGGGGTTGTATGCTCCCTGCGCTCCGCTCCTGTTAAAATCATGGCTGCCGAGCGTTGGACTAGTTGGAGCTTCCGAGCTGTCTTCAAAGGCAACCCCACGTAGAGAGCGTTGCAGTAGTCTAAACGGGAGGTAACCAGAGCGTGGACTACCGTGGCCAAGTCAGACTTCCCAAGGTACGGGCGCAGCTGGCGCACAAGTTTTACCTGCAAATGCTCCCCTGGTCACCCCCGAAACCTGGGGTTCCAGGCTCAGCGATGAGTCCAGGGTCACACCCAAGCTGCGAACCTGCGCCTTCAAGGGGAGTGCGGCCCCGTCCAAGTCTTCAGGGGTAACCCTATACCCTGTTTGGACTTGCGACTGTTCAGGAGTACCTCTGTCTTGTTTGGATTCCCTTTCAATTTGTTTGCTTCCATCCAGACTGCCACAGCTGCCAAGCACTGGTTCAGGACCTGAACAGCCTCCTTAGTAGCAGGTGGAAAGGAGTGACAGAGTTGGACATCATCCGCGTACAGATGACACCGTACCCCGAAACTCCGGATGATCTCCCCCAGCGGCTTCATGTAGATGTTAAACAACATGGGAGACAATATTGAGCCCTGAGGAACCCCACAAGACAATGGTTGTGGGGTTGAACAGGTGTCCCCCAACAACACCTTCTGAGATCGACCCTCCAGGAATGACCGGAGCCACTGCAAAACAGTACCTCCAAGACCCATCCCCGCAAGGCGTCCCAGAAGGATACCGTGGTCGACGGTATCGAAGGCCGCTGAGAGGTCAAGCAGCACCAACAGGGACACACTCCCCCTGTCGAGCTCCCGGCGCAGATCATCCACTAAGGCGACCAAGGCTGTCTCGGTACCATGTCCCGGCCTAAAGCCAGACTGTGCCGGGTCTAGATAATCCGTGTCTACCAAGAATACCTGGAGGTGTGAGGCCACCACACGTTCCAAGACTTTGCCCAAGAAGGGGAGATTGGAAACTGGCCGATAGTTGTCGAATTTAGTGGGGTCCAGTGATGGTTTCTTCAACAGCGGTTTTATTATAGCTTGTTTTAAGCTCGCTGGAATCTTGCCTTCCCGAAGGGAAGCATTAACCACCACCTTCACCCACTCAGCCAATCCCCCTCTGGCCTCCTTTAGAAGCCAGGATGGGCAGGGGTCCAGGATGCATGTGGTGGCCTCATTCTCCAAGAATCTTGTCCACATCCTCGGGTTTCACCAAGTGAAATGAATCCATCAAAACTGGACAAGCAGGTGCTCGTGTTACATCCTCAGAGACTGCCATTAACATGGTATCCAGACCAGAACGGATCAAAGCGACTTTGTCTGTAAAGAACTGAGCAAAAGCTTCACAGCGAGAAGTCGAATCGTCAGGGTTCCCACCTTGAGTGGTGGGATTTAAAAGGCCTCTGACAATTCGGAACAGCTCAGCCGGACGGTTCTTTGCAGACGCAATAGTGGCCGCAAAGAAGGCCTTCTTTGCGGCTTTTATTGCTGCGGCATATGCCCTTAAAAAGGACACAAACCGTGTTCGATTTGGCTCACTCGGATCCGAACGCCACACACTCTCTAGTTCCCTCTTCTTTCGCTTCATCGCTGCCAGCTCCTCGGTGAACCAGGGAGCTGGTTTAGCTCGGCTACTTGAGAGGGGACGTTCCGGAGCGATCGTGTCAATTGCCCTAGTCATCTCCCCATTCCAGAGAGTGACCAGGGCCTCGACAGGATCACCTACCGAGGCGGCGGGAAACTCCCCAAGAGCCGTCAGGAATCCATTCGGATCCATAAGCCTCCTGGGGCGGACCATCTTAATGGGTCCTCCACCTGCAGAGGTTAGGGGGCGCAGTGAGCCTAAATCTGACCAGGAAGTGGTCGGTCCATGGCAACGGAGAGATGGTCAGCTCCTCGACCCCACCACCTTCCTCCCATCCCTGGCAGAAAACCAAGTCCAATGTATGCCCTGCACTATGAGTGGGGCCAGATACTTGCTGGGACAGCCCCATGGTTGCCATGGCAGACATGAAGTCCTGAGCCGCTCCTGAAAGGGCCGCCTCGGCATGGACATTGAAGTCCCCCAGCACAAGGAGCCGCTGGGATTCCAATGCCAGGCCTGAGACCACCCCCGCTAGCTCAGGTAAGGAGACTGTAGTGCAGCGAGGTGGGCGGTACACTAACAGAATCCCTATTCTGTCCCGGTCACCCAACCTCAAGTGGACACATTCAAAATTTGTTGACTGCGGGATGGGGCCCCTGGTCAGAGGGATGGAATCTCTATAGACCACTGCGACCCCGCCTCCCCGCCCTCCGGATCTCGGCTGGTGCTGCACGGAAAAACCTGGTGGGCAAAGCTGGGTCAAATACAGTATAATACTAGTAATAATAACATAATATTATAATTATATATTTACATTACATGTAATATTACTAATAATATTACAATATAATGGTATAGTGCAATATAGTAATATATAATACTGATATTGTACTATGCTAATAATATAATATATTGTATGAAAATATATCTTGTAAGCCGCTCTGAGTCCCCTTCGAGGTGAGAAGGATGCCAAAGAAATGCCGTAAATAAATAAATAAATAAATAAATAAATACAACAGCCAGAAGAGTGATCTTGTTTGCTGTGGACACATCTTGTTGTGTTAAAATAATAATAATAATAATAATAATAATAATAATAATAATAATAATGGAGACATTATTTTCAAAGGATTTCAGATTGCAATTCCACATCGTCATCATCGTTATTATTATTATTATTATTATTATATTTATTTATTAATACCCTTTATTATCTCCCATGAAGAGGACTCAAAGTGGCTTAACAAAAGCATCAGCATAACAATTTAAATATACAAATATGCGAACATTAAAACAGGATTAAATATAAACAATATTTTTTAAATTCCCAGTTAAAAACCAGTAAAACAAATTTGAAGTTAAAAACCATAATACTTCTTGAATTGATCTTAAAACTCGATAAATAAGCTTATCAGGATTCAACGGTGGAGAGGTATATGAATGTGTGGTCATTCCCTCGGCTGTGGAACGCCCTTCCCACGGACATTAGATCAGCCCCTTCGCTAATCGTGTTTCGAAGGAAACTAAAAACCTGGCTGTTTGAACAGGCGTTCAGATAAATAGTGCAATTGAATGATGAATATAGGAACGGATTTATGGATGACGAATTGGATCACGATTTTAGTTACGAGATGCTAATGTGTTGTTATTGATGTGTCATTATTTGTATACTAGGCTGTTAATGGTTTTAAATATTGTATGTTGTACGATTGACTTTTTTGCTCTTGTTGTGAACCGCGTTGAGTCGCCTACGGGCTGAGAAACTGCGGTATACAAGCAAAGTAAAATAAATAAATAAATAAATAAATTCCTCTGTAATACATCTTCATTCCCTTTTGTCATACACTAGGGATGGGGAACATGGTTGAACTGACGCTCTCATCATCCTTCTTTCCTCTCTGGCCACGCTAATTAGGGATGATGGGAGTTGCAGTCTGAGCACATCCTCTGGAGCCAAACACCTCTCTCCAAAAGCATTTCCCATCCATATTGCACGCCCATCCTCCTAAAAACCAGAAAAAACCCAGAAAATACCTGAATGTTAAGATGTGTCACCGTTTCTTGAGGTAGCGGCTTATACAAAGAACCTGGAAGATAAAAGAGGATTCACACTGCATTGGACTATATGGCAGTGTAGACTCATAAGATCCAGTTCAGTGCAGTTAAACCGCATTATATGGCACTGTAGATCCAGCCCTTGGGGAACTACAGCTCTCAAGACTCCATGCTGTAGTAGTTCCGGATCAATTAAAATACTAACAATCAATTAATAAAATTAATACATTAAATAAAATAAAATAAATAAAAATCAATTAATAAAGTTAATAAAACACTGACTCATAAAATACTAGCAATCCATTAATAAAATACAAATTAATTAATAAAGTTAATAAAACCCTAACTCATAAAATGCTAACAATCAATTAATAAAATAAATAAATAAAATAAATAAAAATATTAATTAATAAAGTTAATAAAACCCTAACTCATAAAACACTAACAATCAATTAATAAAATAAATAAAATAGTATAAAATAAATAAAAATATTAATTAATAAAGATAATAAAACCCTAACTCATAAAACACTAACAATCAATTAATAAAATAAATAAAATAGTATAAAATAAATAAAAATATTAATTAATAAAGATAATAAAACACTAACTCATATAATGCTAACAAACAATTAAAAATAAAATAAAATAAATAAGAAATTTAATTAATAAAGTTAATAAAACACTAACTCATAAAATGCTGACAATCAATTAATAAAATTAACACATAAAATAAAAAAATAATTAATAAAGTTAATAAAACACTAACTCATAAAATACTAACAATCAATTACTAAAATTAATAAATTAAATTAAAGAAATAAGAAATTTAATTAATAAAGTTAATAAAACACTAACTCATAAAATACTAACAATTAATAAAATTAATACATTAAATAAAATAAAATAAATAAAATAATTAATAAAGTTAATAAAACACTAACTCATATAATGCTAATAATCAATTAATAAAATTAATACATAAAATAAAAAAATTAATAAAGTTAATAAAACACTAACTCATATAATGCTATCAATTAATAAAATACATAAAATTAAATTAAATTAATAAAAAATAATTAATAAAGTTAATAAAACACTAACTAAAATGCTAACAATCAATTAATAAAATTAATACATAAAATAAAATAAAAATTAATAAAGTTAATAAAACACTAACTCATAAAATGCTAACAATCAATTAATAAAATTAATAAATAAAATAAAATTAATAAAAATTAATTAATAAAGTTAATAAAACACTCAAAATGCTAACAATCAATTAATAAAATTAATAAAAAATTAATTAATCAAGTTAATGAAACACTAACTCATAAAATACTAACAATTAATTAAAATACTCATGTACCACAAAACAAGCATGAAAGCGAGGCAGATCCACTTACTCTCCATGTGGACGGACAAAGCGAAATGGAAGCGGAGCAACAATCAGGAGGAACAACACAGAGCTTCCGGGTCTCCCACGCGGATGAAATGCGCATGCGCTCTTGCCGTTCTCCGATAGGCCCAAAGTAGAAGAGAAGCGGCCAATTAGAGCAATAGGTCGCACGCAGCACCATAGAGGTACGAAATGAGAAAGGAGAGAGGGATGAGATAGACGAGAGGGTCTTTTCTCCACGCATGCGCACATATGCCTTCCAGGCTAAAAGGGGAGAGAAAACTGTTCCAACACTGCAAGGCTGTTGTTAAATAAATCTCAACCATAATCTCCCACCGTTCAGATTGTAATATAATAATATTATTCTGTTATTATGCTATTCTAATACTATAATATTATTGTATTATTATGCTATTCTAACACTATAATATTATTGTATTATTATGCTATTCTAACACTATAATATTATTGTATTATTATGCTATTCTAATACTATAATATTATTGTATTATTATGCTATTCTAATACTATAATATTATTGTATTATTATGCTATTCTAATACTATAATATTATTGTATTATTATGCTATTCTAACACTATAATATTATTGTATTATTATGCTATTCTAACACTATAATATTATTGTATTATTATGCTATTCTAATACTATAATATTATTGTATTATTATGCTATTCTAATACTATAATATTATTGTATTATTATGCTATTCTAATACTATAATATTATTGTATTATTATGCTATTCTAACACTATAATATTATTGTATTATTATGCTATTCTAACACTATAATATTATTGTATTATTATGCTATTCTAATACTATAATATTATTGTATTATTATGCTATTCTAATACTATAATATTATTGTATTATTATGCTATTCTAATACTATAATATTATTGTATTATTATGCTATTCTAACACTATAATATTATTGTATTATTATGCTATTCTAACACTATAATATTATTGTATTATTATGCTATTCTAATACTATAATATTATTGTATTATTATGCTATTCTAATACTATAATATTATTGTATTATTATGCTATTCTAATACTATAATATTATTGTATTATTATGCTATTCTAATACTATAATATTATTGTATTATTATGCTATTCTAATACTATAATATTATTCTTTTATGCTATTCTAATAAAATATAATATATTGTATATACATATAATATTTATAATATTATAATGTAATACAATAACGTAATATAATATTGTAATGTAACAATAATAATTTATTCATTTATATTTATCGTGTCATCAGCAACCATACCATTGTGTTACAATTCTAACAGAACAAAACAAAACCACAGATTTTGCAAACTTGGTAGCTGGTTAAATGTCCTTTGAGCAGTAACTGGCCCCTTGGAGTGCCTCTGGTGTTGCTGCAAGAAGGTCCTCCATGGTGCATGTGGTGTTCAGGTTGCATTGCAGCAGGTGGTCAGTGGTTTGCTCTTCTCCGCACTCGCATGTCGTGGACTCCACTTTGTGGCCCCATTTCTTGAGGTTGGCTCTGCATCTCGTGGTGCCAGAGCGCAGTCTGTTCAGCGCCTTCCAAGTCGCCCAGTCTTCTGTGTGCCCAGGGGGGAGTCTCTCATTTGGTATCAGCCATTGGTTGAGGTTCTGGGTTTGAGCCTGCCACTTTTGGACTCTCGCTTGCTGAGGTGTTCCAGCAAGTGTCTCTGTAGATCTTAGAAAACTATTTCTAGATTTAAGTCGCTGACGTGCTGGCTGATACCCAAACAGGGAATGAGCTGGAGATGTCTCTGCCTTGGTCCTTTCACTATTGGCTGCTACTTCCCGGTGGATGTCAGGTAGTGCAATACTGGCTAAACTGCAGTAATTATCTGCATATTTGTAACTCAAGAAGTTTCTGTTGGAAGTCCCGCAGTGGCCATCTTGAGAGCCTCTAAATTTTGCAACAAAGTCTGGACAACGGAAGCAGAAATCCCGGGACCAGAAGATCTGTATGTGGACCTCTTCTGAAGTCCCAGGATTTTTTTTTTTTGCCCTTTTTAAAACCCGTGATTTAGTGCTGTCTAGAAGTGCCCTCGGGCAATGGATATAATATTACACAATAAAGCTACCTTGGTTCCTTCCAAATTGATACAGTGAGAGAACTTGAGACTCCGTGGCCACTTGCTGGGCCTATCCTTGACCGGTTCATCCCGCTGGACGCAGGGGCTGTCGATAGGCTTATAGCTGCAGCTAGACCGACCACTTGCTCCCTCGATCCATGTCCCTCTTGGTTGGTGAAATCCTGCTTGGAGAGATTACGTGACCCTCTGCTGAAGATAATAAAAAGCTCCCTTGAGCAAGGAGTCTTTCCAGAGGGTTTAAAAGAGGCGGTGGTCTCTCCCTTGCTGAAGAAACCAGACTTTGATTGTTCCGTTCCCTCCAGTTACCGCCCAGTTTCGAATCTCTCGTTCCTGGGCAAGGTGATTGAGAGAGCAGCAGCGGAGCAGTTGCAGCAATTCCTAGACGACACAGCCGGACTAGATCCCTTCCAGCCCGGCTTCCGTGCAGGGCATGGGACAGAGACTGTGCTGGTCTCCATCACGGATCACCTTCAATGCCAGCTTGACCAGGGTGGGTCAGCGGTGCTTGTGTTACTGGATCTCACAGCAGCATTTGACACAGTCAACCACAATCTTTTGACCCACCGCCTTGCTGTTGCTGGAGTCAGGGGGGCAGCTTTAAACTGTCTGTCCTTTCTTCACAACCATGAACAGCGAGTGGAGAGGGGAGGCCTGGTCTCTCAGAGGTCCCCCCCCTCTCTCTTGTGGGGTTCCTCAGGGGGCCATTCTCTCCCCTCTGTTGTTTAACATCTCTATGCGACCACTTGCTCAGCTGGTTCGAGGTTTTGGGCTGGAGTGTTACCAGTACGCTGATGACACTCAGCTGGTGCTGAAGATGGAAGGCCGACCGGACTCTGTACCCAATTATTTCCATCAGTGCCTCGAGGCCGTTACTGGATGGCTGCGTGCCAGCAGGTTGAGGGTGAATCCGGCAAAGATGGAGATTCTATGGCTGGGTCAACCGGGCAGTGGGGACATCCAGCTGCCTACCCTGGATGGCAAGGCGCTACGCCCGTCATCGTTGGTCAAGAGTCTGGGAGTCCTTTTGGACCCTCTGCTGACGATGGAGGCCCAGGTCTCCGCCGTGAGCAGAACCGCCTTCTTTCACCTGCAGCAGACTAGATGGCTGGCCCCCTCCCTGTCCAGGGATGACCTCACTATGGTGATCCACGCCATGGTCATCTCAAGACTGGACTACTGTAACGCTCTCTACATTGGCCTTCCTCTGTCGGTGATCCGGAAACTCAAGTTGGTACAAAATGCAGCTGCTCGGCTTCTTGCGGGAATTCCGATGAGATGCCACATCACCCCAATCTGACTGCAGCTACATTGGTTACCAATTGAGCACCGGATCACTTTCAAAGAGATAGTACTCACCTTTAAGGCCTTGCATGGTCTGGGGCTGATGCATCTGAGGGACCACCTTGCCCCCTACCAACCCCAGAGATCCCTCCGTTTTGAGGACCAGGATCTATTGGAAGTCCCCAGTGTCAAGACCTTGCGTCTAACAGCAAGCAGACGCAGAGCCTTCACAGCAGTGGCACCATCACTCTGGAATACTCTGCCACCTGAAGTCCGTGCCTTGCGGGACTTATGTATGTAAGACATACCTGTTTCGATAGGCTTTTAATGTTTGATATTGCTGTTTTGAAATTGTTTTAAAATGCTTTTAAATTTTGTTAGATTTTAGCTATTCTTGTAAGCCGCTCCGAGCCCCAGGGGAGTGGCGGCATATAAGTTCAAATAATAAATAAATAATAAATAAATAAAATTTGCAATTATAGCATTGTGATTCCGCTTTTTATAAATCTCTCCTTCCCTTTAGTATATACACGTTTTTGTAGCTATATCCATTTTCTAAATAATGTGAATCAGGAATTTTAGTGTGACGATTTTATACAGCTTAGAAATACTCGTATTTAGTGCTAAAAGTAAATTCCTCCATTGAATTTGCTAATTAATTAGACCAATCATTCCATTAAACGTTTTCTCTGAAATCGATAAAAATGGTTGATAACGACTTAAAGTAATGAGAACTGTAAATTGTCACTCAACTCCAGCTTCAGCGCGTTTAATGATTAAACTAGGAAATATTAACATCACTGCCAAAAGCTTGACATATTAGAGGCTAACACTAAAGTTAAACTTTTATGAATTATTTCCAAACTGCCAAATAGTTTGGACAGTATTGTACAAATTGTGATGTCAGTCCAGGATGCGTTTCCCAGTAGATGCTTCTGGAAAATTAAAATTGATACAGGGTTGGTGTGCTGGTACGGCTGTACCAGGAGCTCCAACTTCTTTTCCTTTCTATTGAGTGTTTGCATGTATTCCAAAGTTCCATGCAATTTGCAATAAGGTGGCTTCCCTTGGTTTGCAATCATAGGGCCAATGACCCATCAATTATCATTATGTTCTTTAGTTCCGCACCTTTTTCTGGGTTAAGGAGGGAAAAAGGGAAGCTCTAGTTCAGTTCACACAGAGAAGCCTTTCATACAGGACGTGAATCAGATCCACCTGTAGAAAGCTTTGCTGGGGGGATCCAGTCCCACAGCTCTACAGAGAACTTCAGCATAGCCTTTGTTGGGGAATTTAGTTCCACAACTCTACAGCCAGCTCTTTGCTGGGAATTGAAAGCCTTCTTTCCCCCTGGAAATCTACTAAAGGACTCTGTTTGGTAAGGACCACTCGCGGCAGCCATAACGCAATTTGGACCGGGTGTAGGGGCCCACGCCAGCAGAGCTTAAGTCAGATTGCCCAGGGAGGGGTCAAGGATTTCCCTTGTAGAAGGAAGAAACAGTTTATGAAGAAAGTTGCCTGTCCCTTGTGGACAAGATTTAAGCAAGCCACCAGTTGATTCAAAGCCTTGAAGTATTTGTTTGATTTATTGAAGATTTAAGCAACAATAAAAACTTTGTTGAAAGTCTTTAAAATAACTTTGTGTGGGGAAATCCGAAAGGCCTCTC